CAGAGAAAGCAAGATGGCCCCAGAAGCCCCCAGAAGTGAGATCTGTGGGTGAAAGGAAAAACATGATTTACCACCCTGTACACCACAGGGCTCATTTTCCAGGCCCCTGGGAAAACCAAAGGGGCCAGGGTAGCCTCTAGTCTTCAGAGAAGTCCAATCTTTCTCACTCGTGCATGTTTCTTGAAATCTAGTTAATCAGCACAGAATCCAGGGAACTGGAGGTCGTGTAGTCTCTCCACAGCACCCTTGACAGAGGGAGTCGTGGCCCTGCTCAGTCCATTCAGGGTTGGGGAAGTCAGGTCCACACAGTGAAACACCTTGGGTAGCTTGGCAGGATAGAAAGATGGAGAACCCCCAGCACTGGTGAGGACGTGGGTGGTCTCGCATGCTGTGGGTGGGAATGTAAATTGGGGTAGCAATAGCCTCTCTCCTTCCCCAGGTCACTCTGCTCTGCTGCCCTGGCTGCTCCCCACACAGTGGCCCCGCTCTCTTGGAGGCAGAGAAGACCAAGAGGCTCCACCTGGTTTCACGCTCATTCCCATGGCCCCGGCTGTTCTCTGAAGGAGGACTTTTAGGTTGTCCTCAAAGCAGTGAATCTCAAAAACCAACGAACAGCCATCCCTGTCACTCATGCGGACAGCCTCTCCTAACAGGCCCGAGAACATCGGTGGTCATCCAAGCCTCTGCCGATTTTCTCCATTTTATTGAAAAAACTTCCCCAACACAGGTGAGGAGGAACAAGAAAGAACAGGGCGGGCAAGAGAAAATTTCATCCAGTTATACATCTCTAGGTTTTATGTCTATCTACAGCTAGGTTTTCTATTCACACACGTGTATGTTCACCCACACGTGTACACACATGCGCAGATGTGATCTCTGAGGCTATAAATGTATAAATTCCCAGGAAAGGGTGCGAAAGGGTGTGCTCAAACCCCGCGGCAGTAGCAGGGGAGGGAACAGTGATGGACACAGATTTTTTATAACTGCGTGTCAGCTTATGTTGCATTTAAATAAAAATGCATTCCTGAACTGCCTTGCATGGATCATTAGAACAACTATTTTATTTTATTTTATTTTATTTTATTTTATTTTATTTTATTTTATTTAGAACAATTATTTTAAAAGACAAAAAATACACAGTTTATTCTTTCAAACTTTTTTTATTACACTGAAACCTGCCTCCCTGGACCCTCCACCAACAGGTTCTCTTCCCCCCTCAGGTGCCTCCCCTCACCTGGAGGCCTTTGCCTCAGATGTTTGGGGCCCATGAACAGGTTCCCTGTCTTCCAAAGCCTCCTTGACGTATATTCCTTTAGACACATCATGCATGGTCCCTTCCCTCAACTGTCCTGGTTGCTCCCCACGGGGCCCCACATTCACTCAGCAAACTGAGTATTCTGTAAGTGGCAGACCTGGCTAGTGAGTTCGTCCTGAAGGGCACTCAGATACATGAACTCTCATATTCGAGTGTAAGGTACATGTGGGATGGGGCTATGCAAGAGGGCTGCCCAGCCTTCCTGGGCCATGGGAGGATGGCTTCCTCCAGAAGGTGACCCTTGGATGAAGCCTGGGAGGGTGAATGGGTGTTTGGGCCTCTGAGAAGAACAAATAGCATTTGCAAAGGTTCAAAGGCACAAGAGAACTTGGCACCTTCAGCAGGTGGCAAATAGTTCAAGATAACTGGGGAGCAGGGTGTCTATGAGGGCTTAGGAGAAACACCATCCTGGGAAGAGGGTAGGCTGCAACATAGGAAGGGCCTCACCAACTGGGACTCATTCTGTTGGCCATGGAGGGCCACAGGGAGGTGAGGCCAGGGACAGAGAGTCAGACTGGTGGACAGCAGTTGTTTAGGAACCAGATGTGATTCTGCACCCCTCCTCCCCCAGGGGACATTTGGCATTGTGGAAGCACTCTTGGTTGTCACAACTTGGAGAATGCAAATGGCATCCACTGAGCAGACCCAAAAGATACTGCTCCCCTCCAGGGCACAGGCAGCCCGCTTCAGCAAAGACTTATTTCGACTGAGATGTCAACAGTGCTGAGGTTGAGAAACACAGGTATGGAGGATGGATAGCTCTGACAGCAGCATAGAGGATGGATCACTGGGGGGTGTGGGTGGGAGACGGTAGGAAGACTTGATAAATAATAGATAGCAATAGCTCAGCTGGGAGACCCTGAAAGCCTTAGCTAAGACAGGGCAGTGAGAGTGGAGAGGAGACTGAATCAGGAAGTGATAATAGGAGCGAAACTGGTACAACATGGTGATGGCTTGGTTATGGTGGGAAGTGGGGTGATACAGTGGGGCTGTTACAATACAGGTTAGATCACCATGAGAAAGTGAGCCCAAAATAGCAAGAGCTTAAAGAAGGTGGATGTTTATTTCCCATCAAGCCTAGAATGGTGGCTTGACTATATCAGGAACCAAGACCCCATCTGTCCAATTGCTCAGCCCTCCTCAATCCATCTCCAAAATGGCTGCTCTCACTCCCGCTTTCACATTCATATTCCAGCCAAAGGAAAGGCAGGAAAGAGGAAGGGGCTCAGTCCTTCTCTTTAAAGACATGACCTAAAAGCTATACACATCACTTGCACTCATAACCTATTGGCCAGGATGCAGTCATGTGGCTGCCCCTATCTGCAAGGGAAATGTAGTCTTGAGATGAGCCCCATATGTAAATTAAAACTTTTGTAAAGTTAGAGGTAGAAGGGAGCAGCCATTGGAAGGCTATTAGCAATCCATGCCAGGGGTGATAAAAGAGAAAAAGCCTGAAAGGAACAGCCAGGCTTTCAGCATGGGTGACCCAGTGGATGGTGGCTACCATGAAGAGGACCAGAGGGGCACCTGGGTGGCTCAGGCAGTTAAAGCATTGACTCTTGATTTTGACTCATGTCATGATCTCAGGGTGGTGAGATTGAGCCCCGAGTCGGGTTCCGTGCTATGTGTGGACCCTGCTTAAGATTCTCTCTCTCCCTTTGCTGCTCCTCATGCTCTTTCTCTTTAAAAAAAAAGGGGGGGGATCCCTGGGTGGCACAGCGGTTTAGCGCCTGCCTTTGGCCCAGGGCGCGATCTTGGAGACCCTGGATCAAATCCCACGTCGGGCTCCCAGTGCATGGAGCCTGCTTCTCCCTCTGCCTATGTCTCTGCCTCTCTCTCTCTCTCTCTCTCTCTCTCTCTCTGTGTGTGTGTGTGTGTGACTATCATAAATAAATAAAAATTAAAAAAAAAAAGACCAGAGAACATGGGAGTGGAGGAAGGCAGTAAGAAGCAAGGAGACGGGCTCATTTTGGACAGACTGTGTTTGAGCCCTGTGGGACCATAATGTGGACTGTCCCGGGAACCTGAAATCAGGATCTGAGTTGAGGAGAAAGGTCTGGGTGGGGGTAATGGTCTAAGAAAGAACAGATAAAGGGGAGATGGTCCAGCAATGGCACTTAATCTGGAGTCCTTAAGCCCCACCCATTAAAGCAGCCTCTCTGCACCTCAAGTACAGAACGTGCAGCCTATGAATTCTCTGAAATTGCATGTAAGGTACGTGGAAATGTGCTGTACACTTTTCCAAGGAGACAGCTCATAACTTCCATTAGAGTCTCTAGGGGTCTGGGTGCAGAGCGATGTAAGAAGGATGTTCAAAATGGCAGCCTATTTCCCCCACTTACTTCTGAGGCAGACAGAGGAAGAAGAGTCAACCAAAGGGATGGCCTTAGGGGCAGCAGGACAGAGTGTTTGGAGGGGCAGTGGGGAGCAGAGTTTAAAAATAATGGGTGGTTAATGGGTAAGGTCCGTGGGTCTAGGGAAGCCCATGACAAGGACCTCTGAGTGGTGTGGGAAGGCAGTAGAAGGAGCAGGCATAGGAGGCAGGTTCCCAGAGGGAGAGATTGGAGAGAAGGCAAGTCTTGGCTTTCTAGAATGACAGGGGATTAACCATGTCGGAGGTAGAATGGAAACGTCCAGCAGAGAAGGAGAGACTGAGAAGAGCAGAGATCGACCAAGTGGTGTTTTCTTCTTGAAACAGGCTCTCGGCGCCAACCTTAGCACCAGGTGTGGTCCCGGCAGCAGGAGCAGGAGCACTCACTGTCCCAGAAAGGGCTCAGACTCATAGGGGGTTTTCCACCTCTACCTGTCACTGATTGACCTTGGCAAGTTAGCCCACCCCTGAGCCTCTTGGTCCCTCTGTGTGAACTTGGCTAACAACCTGCCTTATGGGAATGATGCAAGGATCAAGGAAAGATCACGAGTGCACTGCCCAGCTCAGGTCCCGATCACAGTCGATGTTCAGTAAATGGCAGGGCTCTTCTCCCCTCCTCATCCCTCCCTTCTTGTAAGATTGTTGCTTTTTATCTTGTGTGAAAAGGGCAGTCTTTGAGGAAAGGACTTTATAATCTTCCTACTTGTTCCGAAGGAGCATAATTTGGTCTATTTGAAGTACCGCACATCATCCATCCTCTTGTGGGAAGAATGAAGCCAGAAACACTGACGAAACATAGAATAATAACAGTAGGACAAACAGGCAGTCACCTTCTTAAAACCCCCAGTGACAGCTACCGGACATCTCCATCCATACCTGGTCATTAGTAGTGTTTCTCCAAGGACAAGTGTCATGAGACTGCCCTTGGTCTCCAGCGTTCTGTTCCTGATGATGATGATGATGTGTTCAGAGTCACAAGTGTTCCGAGGAGGCTATTTGGTCAGAGGCTGTCAAGCCTGGGAGCAGTGGGTGGAGGAGAGAGGATCTCACACGTGAAGAAGCAACTTCAAACAAACAACTCAATTAAAACACTGGCCGAGGACTTGAGTAGACATTTCAACAGGAAGACACACCGAAGGCCAATAAGCACATGAGAAGGAGCTCAACATCACTAGTCATCAGAGAAATGCAAACCAAAGCCACGGTTAAGATGCCACCTCACACCCATTAGGATGGCTACGGTCCAAAAAATGGGCAATAATAAGTGTTAGCCAGGACGTGGAGAAACTGGAACCCTGGTGTGTACGTAAAATGCTCTGGAAAAACGGTAGAGCAGAGCCTGCAAAATTTCAACAGAGAATTAGCACCGGATCCAGCAATCCCACTTCGAGGTATGTACCCCAAAAGAATTAAGAGCAAGGATCAAACACTTATTTGTACCTCCATGGTCATAGCAGCATTATTCACAACACCCAAAGAGGTGAAAGCCACCCAAGGGTCTAAAAGGACAAAAATTAGGGTGGCGCAGTGGTTTGGCGCCTGCCTTTGGCCCAGGGCGCGATCCTGGAGACCCGGGATCGAGTCCCACATCGGGCTCCCAGTGCATGGAGTCTGCTTCTCCCTCTGCCTGTGTCTCTGCCTCTCTCTCTCTCTCTCTCTCTCTCTCTGTGACTATCATAAATAAAAAAATTAATAATAATAATAAATAAAAGGACAAACATTATGATACCAATTCTAGGAAGTGCTGAAAGTGGTCCAATTCACGGAGGCAGGAAGCAGAACGGTGGCTGCCAAGGGCTGGAGGCAGGAGCAGGGATGTGATGCTTTGTGGGGACAGAGCTTCAGTTGAGGGTGATGAAAAGTTCTGCAGATGGATGGTGGTGATGGTTGCACAATATGAATATGCTTAATGCCACTGAGCTGTACCTTAAAAATGGTTAAGATGGTAAAAAAAAAATTAAGATTTTATTTATTTATTCATGAGAGACACAGAGAGAGGGAGAGACACAGGCAGAGGGAGAGGCAGGCTCCCTGCAGGGAGCCCAACGTGGGACTCGACCCCGGGACCCCAGGATCCTGCCCTGGGCCGCAGGCAGACGCTCAACCACTGAGCCCCCCAGGTGCCCCTAGATGGTAAATTTTATATTACGTATAGTTTATCACACACACACACACACAGCAGTCCCCAGATCGAATTACGCTGGACAGAGTTGAAGACCATTGTTCAACTTACAAAAAGCTCATCTACAAATTTAAAAATTAGGCCTTTCTGAAGACGTTATCAAAAATAAAGACACAAACCCGATCTAAGTGAGCCGGGTCCTGCTTGACCTGGCCGTGCGTGGGTCACAGCACCCACCCCGCTGCTGGGGGCTAGACTCAGGCCCCTGCCCAGCAGGTGTGTCTGGGCCTGTGAGGAAGGCTGACTTGACTCTTGTGATGGGAATATGAGCCATCATTCCCTCCCCTATAATTTTGTCTTTTATATATTTTTTCACATTTTCTCCGTGTGACTTGGCGATTTTTATAACGAAGAAAACATTCCTTAAATTATCCGTATTTTGAAGACTCCATCCTCCATGCCAGCCCCTGCGAGCAAGGGCTCAGCGCTTCTCAGGAGGGCCCTCCGCTGCCCAGGGTCAGCCCCTTCAGGAGAAATGCTCTTTGCCCCCGTGAGTCACGCAGGACGGAAGAGAGAAAGGTCTGCTCAGCCAGGATGGGGCCAGAGGGTGGGCGGACGCAGGCCTTCGGAGGGTGAAGGGGACTCTGGAGGGCCCTGAGGGACAGGCGGGTGTTCCAGGGCCGTCCGTGTGGTAGCCAGGGCGGGACCCGGGTCCCGGGATCGAGTCCCCGTCGGGGTCCCCGCAGGGAGCCTGCCTCTCTCTCTCTCTCTCTCTCAAATAAATAAATAAATAAATAAATAAATAAATAAATAAATAAAAACTTAAAAACGAGAGACACGATCCCATATTCTCTGTCCTACCCCACACTCCTATTAGCCAAGGTTCCTCAGGAGACCCACAAGTTTCCTCTCCAGGGTCCCCCCTGCTCGGCCCCCGAAGCTGCTGTTGCTCCTAATACATGAAGCTGTTTCCCTCTGATGGGGGAGCACGGCTGAGTGACATCTAGGTCCCATGGGGGAGCTGCCACCTGGCTCCTTGGAATGACAGTCTTCTCTGACACTGGCCACTTCCCTACTGGCAAATTAAGGAAAATGACGAGCTTTATCTCTGACAGCACAGGGTTCCGGGGACAGGCGAGCAGGACGGCGCTGGTGACAGCCTGGAGCCTACAATGAGGCAGGAAGTGGCTCGCAGGGTGGATGGAAACCCGATGACAGGTGACGACCCCGCCCCAGCCCTCCCGCAGGACATTCCCTCACATGTAGGGCAGAGTCATGATCCTCAGGCTGGTGACTGCGGGTAGACCGGCCTCCTGGGCGTCTCAGACACCGGGTGCCCATCCGTGCACCCACCCAGCTCTTTGTGATTCTCTCCTGTCTCATCCTGCCCCATTCCACAGAGGGTTGCCGTAGCGCAAATAAAACGTAACAAAGTAAGTTAAAAGCAGGAAGGAAAGAAAAAAGAAAAACCAAAGAGAAGGACTAAAAGGGATCCAAGAATAAGGCCGAATGTGAATATCTCACGATTCCTTTCATGACAGTTCATCCAGCTGCACAGGTGTGATTTATGGACTTGCCTATATGAATATACGGGCGGCAATTTTTAATATATTTATTATATGTATTATATATTTATTTATTTATTTATTTATTTATTTATTTATTTTTAGAGAGGCAGCCTGGGCTGACATGCAGCTTTGCCCTCCTCTCCTCTCCCCAACCTGGGATGCACATGTGAGGCTCGAAGTGCCACAGCCACGGGGCCAAGTGCCACAGGCCAGAGATGGTGGAGGGAACAACCCACAGACCTGGAGGCCTGGGGGACCCTGGATTCGCGGCACCGCCGCGGGATAGTCGGCCTCGGCGCTCATCGGCCCGGAAGAGAGCCGTCCCTGGCTCGGCCAGACCGTGTCACCAGGGGCCCTGTCACATGTGGTCCACAAGAAGCCTCGGGAGCAAGCAGGGCCCGAGAAGAGAGACGGGTGTGGACAGATACCGTGGGGGCCTCGCAGTTAAGGGGGAGGAGGCTCAGGTTGCAGGGGGGAAACTGAGGTAACGCAACCAGAGAGGTCGGAAGGGAGGGGAACCTTGCCAGGATAGGCCCCACATTTGCCTCCAAGCTTTGTCGCAAAGAGAGAAAGGCGAGCAGGTCTGTTTCTGCCCCAGATACGAAGGTCAGGGGCTGAGGAGGGGTGTAACCCTGGGACACAGACCAGGTGAGCGTCTCTCCGGAGGGTCTGAGCACAGTGGCTACTTTGTCACTTAGTCCAACAGTCTCTGCACTGAGCATCCTTGCCACACATGGACGGGAGTCCCATGGGGCTGTTCTTACCACATTCCTCCACGAGTCCCTGCCAACTTCCATATTCTGCAGAAGCCCAGTCCATGTGGTCCGGACCCCAGTTCTCGGCATCCCTGGCCTTGGGAGAGGCAGAGCCTAGGCTATCGGAGGGGTGCACGAGCCGCACCCCACGTCTCTTTCCAGCAACTCTCCCTAAATATCATTCCCCTCCTCTGGGCATTTCAACAACATCAGCTGCCTGGGGGGGGGGGGGAGCAGCACTACCCCTCAGGCCGGTATTGAGGTGCGGGGCTTCTCTCCAAAACATACAGACCCATCTATGCTAGAGTCGCTCAGGAAATCAAGTTGCCCGAAAAGAGAGAGTCTCTAAGCGCCCGACAAAGAAACCACCTGGCTAATTGGAGCAAAACCAGAAATTCCTCAAAGAAAGGAAGATGCGGGAGTTGATTTTCAACTGGGTGTTTAAGTGATACCCCATAACTCAACCTATAAACCAAGCCCAAAGGGCTGGGCCCTGGTTAAGAGTCTGGCATTGCGGGCCTGTCGGGAGGATGACACGCTCAGGAAGCTGTGACACCCAGCGGGCCTGTGAATCAGCCCCACTGTCCCCACGGGCACCTCCTCCTCGGGAAAGGAGGCAGGGGGAGGCGCAGCCCGAGCAGGGATGTCCACTGCCCTGCCGATCCCCTCCCCGGTCACTGAGCTGCTCAGGTCACCCTGGGCTCCCTGCTGCCTCCCACCAGCCCCCCCTCAAGGGCAGTGGGACCCAGGCGTCCCAAGGCGTCAGAGAAGATCCTCACGGAGCCTCACCTGCATGAGGGATGTGTGCATGTCTATGCCATCCAGAGGAACCCTCTCCATTTACAGGCAACTGAGTCCAGAGGGGAAGAGACTTACCCAGAGTTGTACCCTAAGAGGCACAGCCAAGTCAGGAGTCCACACGCTCGCTCGCTCGCTCGCTCGCTGTCTCTCCAGGAAGAGCCTGACCTCAGAAGGTCTGACCCTCGGCGTCACAGTGCCTGCTGACATGACGTGCCTCAGGAGATGCCACCGCAGGACACCAGGTCCTGGGGAGGACCCACCTCACACTCCGATACCGTGGGTGCCCAGGGGACCTTCTGGATGCAGCAAGTCCTCCCACAGAGCTTTGCAGGTCACAGAGCACTTTCTCAGCCATGTGTCACCATGACTGTTCCAGGAGCGCCTCTTCCCGGCATCCGCGGGGTAGGAGCAGGACTGTGATGGGCAGGACGACTCTTGCTGTCTCACTAGGAAGAGTGAGGCTCCGCGCCTAATGCCAGAGGATGAGCTTTCTGTTTGCGGCAGCGACTGGGCCGCAGGACACACAGGCGGTGCTCCCAGTTAGCGAGGAGCCTGGGGCCCAGCTGCAGCACCCACCCAGGGGTCCTCCGACAACCTCGCCAGGGGTCAAGAGAACAACCAGCCAACATGCGTTTCTTCGAAGCAGGGGGTGGGCAGTGGGAAGGCACATGGGGACAGGGACACAGGGGTCAGCGCTTACCCTAATTTCCCAGCTGTTTTGGGAAAGGCCCTTTCTGTAGCCACTTAGGTAACAGGAGGGCAATGAGCAGGGTCAGCCCTCAAGTGCAGCCTAGGGGAGGGAGGGAGGGAGGGTCGGGTGACAAGGATGTGTCTTTGAAGGGACAGAGGAGGATGGATGGACAAGGGAGGGAAGTGATTCGAGACTCAGACTCAGGGTTCCTGTAGCATCAGAACACGAAGGACCTTTATAGATGGGGGACTGAGGCCCAGGGACGGGAAAGGATTGACGCAAAGTCACAGAAGCTGGTCAGTACAGATGGAAGATGTGATCCTTGGGAGGGCGATACTGGGTACCTAGAGGGAGGGATAAAGTAGGTGTGAGAAAACCAGACACACGCTTTGGCTAGCGGCCAGCCGAAGGGCCATGTGAGAACCTAGGATCGAGCTTTCCAAAGCAAGGTGGGCATGTGAAGCCCAAGGAAGCCTCTGCAGGCCTGTGAGAGGCCATTGGCACCCTGCTGCTGGGGCGACTGGTTTTACGCATGTTTGTGAGAACATGGACGGGTCCCAGGGCACTAAGCTTCCACGCCAACTAATGCCTGCAAACTGATCTTCCGCTCAGCACAGGTCAGCTCAACAAGGCCGTGACCAACGTCCCCAGTGGCCGGTGGCTGGGCACTGGGTTACACCCTTATCCACCCAGTTCAACCCAGGGCTGGGTCCATTAATCACAGACTGTGTGAGCGGAAAGGGATCTTAACGAGCATTTTCCAGCCTCACACCTATCTCCATCAAACACTGGAATTCCTTCCATCGCGGGGTTGCTCAGCTACAGTCTGAGCTCTAGAGACGGCTCGCAGCCCCAGGTGGGGGCCGCTCCGACCCTGCACGGCGCTGGCCGGGTTCTTCCTTGGACTCAGCCGCGATCTCTTCCACTGCTCACTCTGTATTTCCTGCCAACGGGTCTTCATTCGACCCCTTGAAACCTTAGGGAATACATCCCTTCCTCTTCCCCAGACCAACCCTTTAACTGGTGGATGCAATGGGCAGCACTCCCCAAATCCTCACTGTTCCAGGTTGGACACCCTTGGCTCTCTAAACCGGTTTCCATGGGCCTAGGTTCAGTCCTTCCCCAGGCCCTTCTCCATCCTAGTGATTTTCTACTATACTCTCTCCCCTCTAATGCTGGGAGATCCCCAACATTGAACATGACAATCAAGTTGAAGATGAACATCTCAAATCACTACCCACATGCCCCTCTCCTTTCTGCTATCTTGTGTTTAAGCTCCCTGATGCGAGCTTCTGAGACCCAGACTGTGGCTCATAATTCAACATGTAAGGCACAGGACAGGACGCCTGGGGCTCAGTGGTTGAGCGTCTGCCTTCGGCTCAGGTCGTGATCCCAAGGTCCTGGGATCGAGTCCCATGTCGGGCTCCCCGCAGAGAGCCTGCTTCTCCCTCTGCCTGGGTCTCTGCCTCTCTCTGTGTTTCTCATGAATAAATTTTTTTTAAAAAAATCTAAACACGTATGGCAAATCCTGATTTTCCAAAACATTATTAAGGAAGTATATTTAACTCTGTAAAAGGCAGTGGGATTAAGGGTGGGATCCTCCAATGGCACAGTGTGCATGGAAGCTAAGGTGTCAGTTCCCGTTGTGGAGGCCAACTTGTGCATGACATCTGGATTCAGGTGAGACCTGACTCTCGGTGCCCACCAAGCACCAAGCCCTGCAGCTCCATGACAGAAAGTCCATATAATACACAGCTTTTTTCCCAAGGAGCCCAGTTAGGGAGAGCAGTACACATGGAGGTACAGTGAAATGTGCTGGACGCCATCATGGAGGCATGAGAACGGGAAAGGTCAGGTTCTTATTACCGCTGTAGCAAATTAGTACAAACCCAACAGGGGTCTCAATGAGCTCAAATCAAGGTGTCAGCAGGACTGGGTTCTTTGTGGAGGCTCTAGGAGACGATCCTTTTTTTCCAGCTTCTAGAGACTGCCTGCCTTCCTTGGCTCATGGCCCTTTCCCCATGTTCAAAGCCAGCAGTGTTGTTACTTGTCCCAATCTCTCTCTCTAACCTCCTGCCTCCTCCTTTCACGTAGGAGGACTTGTGTGATTACGCTGGGCTCCCCTGGAAAATTCACAATAAACTCCCATCTCAGGTGTCTTAACCCGATCACTTCTGCAAAGTCCCTTTTGCCCTGTCAGGTAAAATGTGTTCCTGGGCTCTGGGGACCGAGACCTCAACATCTTTGGAAGGCACGAGAAATAACTGTCCGTGGGAAGACGTGTTATATTTGAATGGATCCTTCAAGGCTCTGTGAGAGTTTTATGCAGGAAAGCCTTGGTGCAAAAAGGAAAAGGGATTCACACGAAGAACGTGCTTGCTCAAGGCCTGGAGACAAGAAAGCATAGCTACTGTTTTCCTTTTTTGATGACCTGCTTTTCTTTGTCTTTGGAAAGACCGAACCTCTGCCCCAATGCCGCTAGGGTTCAGAGGTTTACTACCCTTCACTGCAGTTCATTTCTTCCTACGATGGCTCTGAACAGAGAAGAACCTGCCTTAAATTGAACCGTGCTGTTCTCTTCATCACTGGACACCTTAATAGATCTCACAGTCCCCAGAAGTTGCTTTAGTTGGACCAGAAAGGGGGACTGGGCAATGGAAGGGTCATGGCACACAGGGGTCTGATACATCCGGAAGGTTCTCTGAGGTCCATCCTTGGGCAGACTGTTCCTCCTAAAAGCCTCAGAACAGGTCACCAGGCCAATAACTTACTAGAATAATACCATTCCCAAAGCTGGCCGGCCTCCTCTACTCCTATGCTACAAGTCAACTGAAAAGAACTTGAGCTGAGGCTGAATTTGGACTTGAGCTTCAAGAGATTAAAAACTCAGAAATGCTGACATTTTCTGTTTCTCTTGATGTCATTGAGAACGTAAATTGCTAGAGGTTTGGAGTCAGGGAGGAGGCCCACTGCCCTCTCCCTGAGATAAGTCAGGGTTCTGACAGCCTCAGTCCAGGGAATCACTGCTGTGGCCATGGGCAGGGCGGCCAGGAACTCTGTGGGCTGCGGAGGGAGGACAGTGCCTGGACAGGCTGGCCCAGGACACACCTCCAGGTCCCCGATCTCTCTGCATCCTCTGTTGACATCCTCTCCCCTGCGTCTCCTCTATGCCAGGCAATT